TACCCTTACTCCCTCCTACCTCTGACACACAGAAAGTAGGAGAGCACAGACCCATGACCCTGTCCTCACGACTTACATTTTCTAATGAGTTAAGTGGTGGCAAGAATAGAAGTCCCTTTGTGTTTGCTTTTCTTTATATATTTTTTTTAAACCTAAGGTTATTTGTCCCCACAGTGAAATTCAGGTAACCTCAGGCTGTTCTCCCTGGAGAAGCAGCCACAGTGGAATGGCAGAAATCCTGAGCAGCGATTCTGGAGAAGTAGGTTCCAGCTGGACATCTTCAGATTTTAGGAGAGCCCTTGTCCTGGGATGATTCCCTATCTAGGAGGAAGGAAGTGTGGACAACACCAGCGTGTTTGACATGTTTACTCCCAACCCAGGCTGGGTCTTTTTTCTACCAAGTGATTTATTTAAGAAATATTTCTTTTTTTTTTTTTAAGTATATTACTTTTATTAATCCTTTTCTTTTTTTTAATAATTTTATTATAATTATAATAATAATAATTATATAATTATTATATACAAATAATTATAATAATAATAATTATATAATTATTATATACAAATAATTATAATAATAATAATTATATAATTATTATATACAAATAATTATATAATTATTTGTTTATTTTCCCCCAAAGCCCCAGTAGAGGGTTGTATGTCACAGCTGCACATCCTTCTAGTTGCTGTATGTGGGATGTGGCCTCTGCATGGCCAGAGAAGCGGTGCGTCAGTGCGCACCCCTGGATCCGAACCCAGGCCGCCAGCAGCGGAGCTCGTGCACTCAACCGCTAAGCCACAGGGCCTGCCCCTAAGAAATATTTCTTTAACAAATATTTGAGTTAAATATTTGGGCCTATGGGCCAGAGCCTGAAGATGCTAGGTTGATACGACCTGCGATTGACATGATCTGCAGGAGATACTGGCTTATTTCCTTTGAAAATTGTTCCCATCGTTTGTTATGGCTGAGTAGTATTCCATTGCATATATATACCACATCTTCTTTATCCATTCGTCCCTTGATGGGCACTTAGGTTGCTTCCAACTCTTGGCTATTGTGAATAAACGCAGCCATAAGAAACGATGAAATCCAGCCATTTGTGACAACATGGATGGACATTGAGGCTATTATGCAAAGTGAAATAAGTCAGAGGGAGAAGGTCAAATACCGTATGATTTCCTTCATTAAGTAGTAGATAATAACAACAATAAGCAAACACATAGAGACAGAGATTGGATTGGTGGTTACCAGAGGGGACGGGGGGAGGGAGGAGGGTGAAAGGGATAATTCGGCACATGTGTGTGGTGATGGGTTGTAATTAGTATTTGGGTGGTGAACATGATGTAATCTATGCAGAAATCGAAGTATAATGATGTACACCTGAAATTTATACAATGTTATAAACCAATGTTACTGCAATAAACAAAAAATTAAAAAAAAAAAAGAAAATTGTTCCCAATAGTGTGAATTAAAGGGAACTCCCACACTAAAATGTTTCCCCAGAGTCCCACCCTTTAACTCAGTTTCCTCCCTGGGCACTTTCTTCCAAAAAGCCCTGTTCCGATTCTGCCCCACCCTTCTCAGAACCTCCCGGCTGGCTAGCCACTGCCAACAGGATTAAGACCCTCCCCCTACCTTCCCAGCCTCTCTGCTCACTCTTCACTCTGCAGCCCTCATTCACCCTGGAGTAGGCCTGCATGCTTGCTTCTAAACAGTCATCTGCATCCCTGTCTCCTGGGCCATCGCGCGCATTCCCTACCTGGGGCCCTCGGGTGCTCTTCTCCCCACTCCTGCAGTCTCCCTTTTTCAAAATCCAACTTATCCTTAGAGACCAGTACAAATACCACTTTGAACCGTGGTTCTTTATTTCCACAAAAGGTTTCCTCCATTGGGGAGGGGTGTGACCCCCTCTTGGAGTCAGGGACTGATCCTACAGCTCTAATGACCATAGTTCCTTAGACGTAGTGTTCCATTAATATTGGGTGAACTGAAATAAATTTATAGGAATCTCCTTAACCTGGAGTCCTCGGGCCTCCATGGGTTCCATGGATATAATTTGAAGTAGGAAGGATCAGTGAACTTGGATGGAGGAAAATTATATATTTGTTTTCACTAAATTCTCACTGAAATGTAGCCCCTCTTTCAATTATGAATGTAGGCAAAAAAAAAGCAGTAGTAATGGTGGTACCTATGATTTTTGTCACCAATGGAAATCTAAGATATTTTTATATTACAATTTAGTTATTGTAGATTTCTCAAAATATCATTTATACTCAACACAAAGTTGAGATTACAGTAGTAATAACTAATAAGACCCAGTGCTAGGTAATTTCGTAATATGATAATAAAGAAAGACATTAAATTTTGATAACTATTTCAGTATAATTGGTATGTTTGTATCTACTTTATTTCATGCATTTACAAATATTCTGAAAAGGAGTCCATAGACGTCACCAGACTGCTCAGAGGGGTCCATGGCACAAAAGGTCAAAATGTTAAATGTTCCCACCTCTGAATGTATATGCTATGCTATATCTGTCTATTTCTTATATTCCCTTTCTTAGTACTGTTGATTTAGCCAACATCTTGTGAGTACCCACTGAGTCTTGGGTGCTAGAGAGGTAACTAAGTAAGACAGGAACTTTGAGGTGAGAATGAAGTCCAATGTACTAAAAGGCCCCCTATCCCTTTTCCACTCTTTCCTATCCCCTCAGTCATTGGTGTTTTGAGTTCTCCCCTGACCTGGCTCAAGGGTGATTTTAGGCTAGATATTGAGGCCAAATTCTAGCCCATTGGGCCTTATTCTTCCTACCTTATGAGGGCCCATTCTGTGGAGGTCACTGGATTGGCAGGAAGCCTAGGGTAACACTGAGTCAAGGTGGCTAACCTTGCCCATTGTCTCCCACTGGGGTACTTGCCTTACTTGTTCCTGCCTTCAGGGCCTTTCCTGTCCCATTGTCAATCCTGAAATAGATTTCCTCCTTGGCTCCCTGGTGAGATTTATTTACAAAGTTGTTCCCCAGGCCTGGTCCTCATCAGAATTGTTTAGCTGGCAAAATGGCTGTCTGGCCCCCTCTTCCCCGCTAACTGACCCCTGTGCTCAGGAAAGGCCCAGAGGTGTCAAAGGCTGATAAGGCTAATGTCTTACCCACTCCATGGGGATTTGCTTCTTTGACAATTCTATTTTCAGTCTCCCCCCAATAGTATAGTAGTATGTGAACGTCTTAGAAAATGTAGATTCGTTTTTTTTTTTTTTTGACTTAAAGAAGGGAGAATGCACTCCTAAGATCACCATCCAAAAACCAAGCCTGACTTGACTAACGCTTAGGCATGATTCCAATCATCTCTCTATGTATACTTTTTATAAAATTGACCTCATGCAATCTCGTTGCTTACTCTTCTTCACTTCACTTAATATTACTGAAGTATTTTCCCTGGGCATGAAATAGTCTTCATTGACCATATAACAAGCCATCTTGTGGCTGTACCATATAGATTATGTAAGCAAAATGTCCAATAATTAAAAAATTAATCTTTGATTTATTTTAATGGGAGACATTTTGCATTTCAGTGTAAGAGGGGCTTAGCATATTGGTTTAAATTGTGTGGTTTGGACTTAGATCTGAATTCAAACTCTGTCTTCCCCTCTTACTAGTGATGCGACATCAGACGAATATCTATTGCTTTTTTTTTTTTTTGGTGAAGAAGATTGGCCCTGAGCTAACATATGTTGCCAATCTTCCCCGTTTTGCTTGAGGGAGATTGTCTCTGAGCTAACATCTGTGCCAGTCTTCCTCTATTTTGTATGTAGGACACTGCCACAGCTTGGCTTGATGAGTGGTCTGTAGGTCCGTGCCCAGGATCCAAACCAGCAAACCCTGGCCCACTGAAGCAGAGCACGTGAGGTTAACCACTATGCCACTGGCCTGGCCCCTGACAAATATCTATTTCTTCATCTCCAATGTGGAGATAATACTTTCTACTTCACAGGGTGATTCTTGATATTAAATGGGGTAGTGCATATGAAGTGCCTACTGAGTACTAAGTCTCCATACATGAAAGCTGTTGCTTATTGTTGCTGTTACTACTATTACCACTACTACCAAGTTTTCAGCCAATGGAACAAACCTCTAGTGATGAAATTTCAGCTATCATTGACCTGGGCTAGGGGATCTATTCGTAAAGGTGGAGGGTACTTTTTCTAGTGCCTGTGAAATCCTGTGTGTGGCTTTTATTTTCATCTAGGCCTGTCCCTGTCCCTTTTCCCTTTCCTGACTTGGCTTTGGCAGCACCTCTGTGCTGCCCACACCTACCTCTGTTGAGGCCCCTTTCCTCTCTTGTGCCTGGGGGCACCAATGAGACATAAATACAGGAAGCATTAACAATGCAAGTTGGTATATAGAACCATAGATGTCAGCACTGAAAAGGTCCTTGGAGATCAACTAGTGTAATTGACGTCTCTCCCATTCCTACCCTTGCACAGATGAGGGGAATTAAGGCCCAGGAAATGGATAAGACTTATCCAAGGTTATAGACTGAGCCAGTTACAGTGCTAGGCTTGGAACCCAGTGTTCTTTATCCTATCCTTAACTTGCCTCTGCAAAGACCAGTGCTGTAGATAATCCAGGCTATAGATCAGAGGTGGAGAGAGAATGCTGTGGGCTTGGAGCTGGCTGGTGTAGATGGAGAAGGCTTCCTAGAAGAAGCACAGTCAGCACTTGCTTCCTCTTGATAGTAGGCTGATTAGCATTCATTTGTTTGCCCCTTGGTAAGCATTACTCTGTGGCTATGTTTTTTGTCTTCAGTAAGCTGGTTGAGAGCAGGGGCTGAATTATTGTTTGTTTGTTTCAATATTCTCCCTTCCTTCCCACCAATATCTAAGTTGCTCAGGTTCTTAGCATCCTAGTTCCCTCTTCTGTGGTTGAACAGAGACACTTGTCCCAGGCTTTGCTGAGCACAGAGCCAGACAACTAATTTGCCTCCTTTGATCTCATCCTAGATCAATGTGCGTGTGACCACCATGGATGCAGAGTTGGAGTTTGCCATCCAGCCCAACACCACTGGCAAGCAGCTGTTTGACCAGGTAAGGGAGGGACTCGTTTTTCCTTAACCTATTCCACTTCTCCCAGTAGCTCCCCCGACAATGACTGCTTCTTAGGAATCTCTTCTCCTACTTGCTCCTCCAAGATGGGTCAAAACAAAAGCTGACCCCAGCCTTAAAAACAAAGGAGGCAAAGTTTAACTTTGGCAGCCTGTACCTTGGATGGTCCTGACTAATCCTATCCTTGGCCCTGAACATGGGAGAAAAGAGAAGTGAGCAGGGTATAACTCTGTGCTAGATGCTCTAAAAGTGTTAGCACATGGAGCCTTCCTCTCAACCCTGAAACATGTGAGTGATCTCTTCTCCATTTTAGTGATGAGGCTCAGAAATTAAATAACTTAATTGCACCCAGCCAGTACCTGGCTGGGATTTGAACCCCACATTCTTGTCACTGTACCACATGGCCTCTGTCACATTTTTTTTTTGCTTCCTAGTAGAAGGAAGCCAACTTATTCTCCCTGAAGTAGCGTGCTCTGTGTACATTTCCCTCAAAGGAAATTTGGGACTTAGGACACCACTGAAGGTGAGGAATGCAGTAGGAGGGTACTTTATCTCCTGCAGTAATGCCATGGAGATAATGCTGAAGTGGTCATTCCCATCTCCAACCCAAAGGGGGTCCCTTCACTGTGAATCACCATTATCAGAAAGGATGTGCTATATAATATAATAGCCAGGTGGGGGCCACAGAATCTTTCAGCATTCAAAGACTCTCCAGGGGCCAAGAGAATGTGCCATCTGTGACCAAACTTCCAGGAGGGAAAATGGGGCTACCATTTCCAGAGGCTAGGATCCCTCCAGACAGGCCATTATCCCATTTCCCTACTAGCCTCTGGTGAGGTGGGGGTCTGACATTGTCCAGGATATTGGGACCACATGTCACCTTGATGGATTTTTCAGGCCCTCTCGCTTCCCTTTCTCCTTTGCTCTCTGAGTCCTTCTACTGTCTGAGAACTCTCCCAGAGTTGGGAAAGGGAAGGAAAAAAGATGAAAGAGGTTGTATTCAAATGAGATAATTCTATTCCTATGAATACTCCTGACTGGTGAGGGGAAAGACAAGGAGAGAAAGGAGATGGGGATGATAGGGAGGATGTTTTCCATTCAGATCTCCATGTAAAAGGAAGGAAGGGATGGCTAGAAATCTGAAGACAGCTTGGCCATGCCCCCCAATCCCTGATGTCACATGACAGAGTGGGAAAATTGTTGTCTATGGATAGTACAGATGAGAATTAACATTTGTCTAGCACTAACTGTATACCAGGTACTGTGACAGGCATTTTGTATACCATATCATTTGACTATCTCAAAGCCCTGTGAGTGCAGGAATTAGTACTGGCTTCATTTTACAGATGAGTTAACAAAATCTTCATTTTTTTTAGCTAGGCCTTAGGAAAATTATTGAATCTCTCTGGGTTGGTATGCTCATCCAAAAAAAAAAAAGTAGGTCTAATACCTACTTCACAGGCTTTATGTGAGGTTATGAAGAGTGTATTATTTATAGCTCACTCATTATTCAAAAAGAAACTTGTTATGGTGGTTTATAAGGATACAAGGATACAAAATCCAAAAGGATAAATTAGAAATAGATGAGAAAGACAATAAGAAAATACCAATAGGGAAGCAAGTTTTATGTGAACCATCCAGCATGTAGTAGAGATGTAATAAATGATAGCTCCTAAATGCCATGACATTTTCTGTCTTGTAAATCAGCTAGAGTTGGGAGATGGGCTTGAAGATCCTCAGAGTATCTAACTTTGGATTTAGCTGGAACTTGCTTCTTCTCTGGAGTTTGTTTTGTTTTGAATGGTGTAAGTAATCATTGGTATTTAATTTGTGAAAGTACAAATTAGTCAGGGGAACATTTAAACACACATTTACAACAATTAATGTGCCAACATTCACATAGCTTGCAAGTGATTACGATGCTAGTCTGGAATGACTGAATGCATTTTGATTATATTAATGTTTTGAATTCTCCCTTTGCATGCAGGTTTTATATTGGAGAGCTTTTAAAAGGACAGCCTGGTGAAGTCAAAAGGGCACTAGATGGAAAGTTAGAAACCTTGGGCCCTAGGGCTGGCTCTACCACTAATTCTCCTTACACAAACCTTTCCCCTCTTTGGGCCTCCGTTTCCCTATCTGTACAATGTCTAACTGATCTCTTAAATCTGTTTATGTCTCAAAAATTTACCTCTGGCATTTATTTCTACATTCCATATCTCTTTCTTTCCCATTTTTAACCCCACTATTTGGATTTCAGTTAATCCCTTTCTGTAAAAAGGAAGGAAAGCCCTCATTTGAGTATGATTAGCAGTTGGCATAAGCCAGAGTGATGGGGAGCTGGCAGGGAGGACATCTCTTTCTGGGCAGGCATCTTACTATCTCTAGGACTAAAAGGAGAAGGTGTCCATCTGATATGTAGGCTGTTACGCCCTTTGCTTCAGACAGCAATATCATTCTAGTGCAGAGTATCAGCCAGTGTGGATTTTATGGTCCAACTGGGAACACGAGGCTCCTTTGGCCTCTACTCAGACTCCTTCCCAGAGCCCTGGTTCTGCACCCCACCCCTCTCAAGCCCAAGCCAAATGACTCCATCCCCTGCCCTAAACCCTGGGGGCTTTGTACATTTGCATTGGAGGGGATAGCTGTGGAGGGTGAGTAAGACATAATTTAGAGCCCAGGGCAAAAAAATCCTTGGGCAAAGAGATTTATTAGCTTCAAAAAGCCACAAGGCCTGGTAATTCTTTGTTAGTGTTGGTTTGGTTTAAATTCTGTGGGTGTGGTTTTCAGGCAAGCCCAGATGGTAGGGAGCCCTGGCCAGATTGGTGTGCTAGTTCTCAAAACAGCACTCTCAAAACAGTAGTTCTACTACTTCCCAAACAAAGCCCTTGAGAGACTTGAATCTTTCATACTGGTTGGGGAGAGGAAAGGGAGAAAACCAGGAAGTTCATGACTTCCCATCCTGAAAATCAGTGTTGTTTTGAGAAATATCATTTATTGAGCACATACTATGGACTAGCCCTGGCTAGGTGCTTTAATCCTCACAATGATCCTGCCTATGAGAGGTGAAAGAACATACTCTAGGTTATGTAGTTAGTAAGTTGTGATATGGAGTTTCAAATATAGCTCTGAGTGCAAAACTATTCTTTTCCCCACTGCACTACTCTGCTTAGGGTGAATGAAGCTGTTCGCCTTGGAGAAGACACAAGAGAAGATGTGTTCTCTGTCTTGAGGTCTCTGAGGGGCTGTGATAGGAAGGAGGGGGCAGTCATGTTCTGTGAGATCAGAAGGGGCAGAACTGGGACCCCATAGGTGAAAACTATAAGGAAAAAAGGTTTGAGCTCAGTCAAGGAATTCCTAGCTCTAGCTCTAGTCTAGCTTTACCTGCCCCCTCCCCTCAAAGTTTTTGAGCTCTAGAAGAGAGACGAAATCTCAGAGCATCCATTCATTTATCTATTTATTGACTGATTCAATATTGACTGAAGGTCTACTGTGTCTTGAGGAGAATCTCTAGACCTATCAAATACCATCTCTGCTCTTAAGGAACTTGAAGTTCCTTACATGTGGAAGTATAAAAAAGTACATGCAACTCTCCTCCCACATAGAATGAAAGAAACACCTTTGAGGCTCAGGTTGTGTATAGAGAATGGGATTTGATGTTAGCCATGGGTTCAAATTCTGTCCTTCTATTTAGCTGTGTGACCTTGGATGGCTCATTTAGCCGCTTAGGACTTTACTTTCCTCAGTAAAATGGTAATCACACTAATCTCAGAGATTTTGTGGTTTTATTTAATCTTCAAATAAGTAAAGTGCCTGGTACATAGCAGGCATTCTAATGTTGGTTGTTCTTATTAAGGGCTAAATAAGTAGGTGGAAATTGCCCTGGGAGTTCAGATAAGGGATCCATGTAATCAGGAAGCTTTTCTGGCTCAGTGAAGTCCTTATGATTTGTGGACTCTGCATTGAAGGCAGCAACCCTTTCTTCTCTTCCATTTTTATTTTATAAAATAACTAACATCTGTTATTGTAATAGTAGTATCCCTATCTTATAGATGAGGAACTGAGGCGTAGAGAGGGGAAAAGACCTGTTTAAGGTCAGATAGCTAGGAAGTAGTATAGTGCTTGAACCAAGGCATATAGCATTTCCAATTTTCCCAGTGCCTTTGGGCAGCTGCGTCCTCTGTGACCTCCCCTTTCTTTGCCTGTTCCCATTCTGAGTGAAAAAAAGTTTAGTCCCTAAACTTAGAACCCTAGCTGAGTGTGTTCTGTGTTATAGAGCAGGCAGCCACTTAAGCACAGACAGTGGAGTAGCAGAAGCAGCAATGGTGGCAGTCCCTCCTAGAACTTTCCAGTTATGCATTGATTTGATTTCACATGGGTAGCTGACATTGCTGCCAAGCCTGTAATGGGATCTCAGTGGGACACAGATGTTTGGGCTTTGACGCAGTTTTGCACATAATTTCTCATGCAGTTTTCCTCTTGAGGCTCCATCCTTGCTTCCTGATCCTGCTTTGGGCTTCTGAAGTACCTGATTATGTCACTAGTTTGTTTACTCAGATAGATGTATGGGGGATTTGGGGAGGGGAGCTCTGAGCTCTGGAATTGACCTGATCTCCCCTCCCCTCCATTGACCTCAGACGTAGGCAGCCTTCACATGCAAAAGAGAGGCAAAAGGGGGTTCTTTGTTACATCCAGATGCCCCTGGCAATTAGTAAGGATTTTCTCAGGCAAATCTCTTCCCTTCACTGGACCCCAGTTTTCCAGTTTATGCTGCTTGGACCCTATAATGCACCACAGTCTGTTTTGGAGGTTTGTATAGCGTGGCTGAAGAGAATCCATGCCAGTGTCTTACAAACTGAAGTGCTGGTCCCTCTAGGTGTATGTGGCAGATTCTGTGAGGTACACAGAGCTGCGGGATGAATGTGATTTAGTATATTGGAGCATCAATTTTATTTGTAGATGTTATTTATTTCATTATTAAAACATAGATACTTAAGGGCCGGCCCCATGGCTCAGAGGTTAAGTGCGCGCGCTCCGCTGCTGGCGGCCTGGGTTCGGATTCCGGGCGCGAACCGACGCACCGCTTCTCCGGCTATGCTGAGGCCGCGTCCCACGTACAGCAGCTGGAAGGATGTGCAGCTATGACATACAACTATCTACTGGGGCTTTGGGGGAAAAATAAATAAATAAAATAAAAAAAATAAAGAATTGTGAGGATTAGAAGTAATGTATAGAAGTTCTCTGTGCTTAGCACATAGTGGGTGGACAATAAAATGTACGCAACATTATTTAGAATTGTATTCTGTAATAAAAAAAAAAACAACATAGATACTTAAGAAGTAGAATGTAAAATTTGCACAAATGATTAAGATTAAACCTGGGCTTCAAAGAAATTCTTGCTTGCAGCCATCTACTGCTACTTCCCCCACCCCCTACCATGTCCCTGGGTATATGCATTCATTATTTTCTGCTGCTGAAGGATTTATTCCAAGACAGCTTTGAGAAATACTAGCTCAGGCCCGATGAGTTGGCTGTCTGGGGTCAAAGGGAACCAAATAATTTTCTTCTCAGGAATAGAGTCATTTCTCAGAGTGGAATGGTAAAGATCCTAGTCACTGGAGCCATGGATATTGTTCGTACAACCAGGACCTAAATACTCTCTCTCACTAGAAAATGAAGTTTCTCATTACTCTGGAGTGGAGATCTCAGCTGGAAGCAAAGCTGGAAAGGCAAAGACTTGGAAATGGGTCCAAGAGTTGCCTGATGAAATAATTCCCAGCACCCTGTGGACCTTAATTGGAGATTTCCTTATAACCTGGGGTCCAGAGGTCATCTGTTTTATCCTTTGTTCTTTTTCAGTATCAATTCTGACTTCAGACCATATTTCCTTCCCCCCACACCCTCACTTCCTCACTTTGGGACTTTGGTGGCAGCTGAGAGACATTGCTCATCTCTGCAAGCCCTGGAGCCTAAGGAAGTGGAAAATTTATATGCATCTGATTTCTCTATGTTTATAAGGGAAGAGGCAGTGCTCAGAGAGATTAAAATTCCCTACTGATCCTGAAATCTTTCTTTTGATATCGCTTTAGCTGTTACTTTGTCCAATTTCTCCTCAGATACTCTAGATCCTGGAACTATTTATTTTGGTTCCCGTGATCCTCCTTTCATCACACCCCTACCCATCCCACTAGTGAAACAGACAATATGGTACAAAAAAGGCTAAGGAGCTCACTGCTGGGACCTCTGGGACTGGCTGCCTAGTCTGTGCCTACTTCACTCCCTTTTAGTTCTGGGGTCTCTGAGCCTCTATAGCTGGGCTGTTGGTACAGGCAAAGACCAGTTGCTGCTCTACCAGTTCTGTTCCCAGTTAGCGTGCCGCCCGCCCCCCCCCCCAGCCCCGCACCATGAGCTAGCATCCTGGCCTTAATGGTCCATCTTCAGCATCTTCAGTGGGTCTCTGTCTCCTGGGACTGGATTGTTTCTTGGAACTTCTTCCCACCAGTTGCATCTGGATACACTATTCTTCTGCAACCCTGTGGAAAATTATTAGAACTGTTAATTGGGCCCTGTGTTAGATCTAGGATGAGGTAAGTGGTGCTTTAAAAAATCTTTCCTGTCCATATCCTCCCCTGCTGTCCTCTGCAAAAAAGCCAATATTGCATTTCAACATGAATATTTTATATTCTCCATCTAAAACCTGCTGGCAATTCCTAGTGCCTATTGACTTAGACTCAAGGACTCACCTTTTCATTGAATCCTGGAAGTCTTTTCATCTTTCCTCACACCCCCACCCCATTTATCTTTTCTAAATATGCTGCTAGTTACCCAAGTCAGCAAGAGGTAGGTGGGAAATCAGATTGTATTTCTTAGTCATTTACAAATAACCTAATTAGTAGAATGATAGAACTTGAGAGAATAAAGAAGCCATTTTAGCCATACTACTTGTAGTATATGGGGAATCTGAATAGATGGGGAAGCTGAGGCCCAGAGAGGGAACTGTACTGCCTTAAGATCGCACAGCAAGTTGGAGACGGAAGTGAAACTTTTGCTCAGGTTTTCTGATACCTGAATCAAGCTGTGAAAGAAGGGTGACCACTATGCATACTCCAGTGAGCAATAAAGGTTGATGACTTGGGGATCTGGCTTCTCTCCAAAATGGTTGTTGACTGAGCCTAGTGGGAAAGCCAGGAACCATATTTAGATGAAGAGGCAGTCAAAGTTTTATTATTTGGCTGGGATATCTGGGGCAAAAGAGAGACAAGGCAGTTAGTCACTTGAGAAGTCCAGGGCTCCTAAGCTCCTATGAGCCCTTGGCATTAGGAGATAGCATGCTAGAGAAGAAAGGATACAGGTATTGAAGTCATACACATCAGAATTCTAGTCTCGACTCTACAATTTTAGACAGGTTGCCTCTCTAAGCCTTAGTTTCCTCATTTATAAAATGAAGATAATAGCTATCTCAGGGTTTTTCAGTGTTCAGTACCTGGCGTATAATAGATACTTAATAAATATGACCTACTTTTTCCTTGGGACCTCTGAAGCTCTATATTGTAAGCTCTGGGAGAGACTATGGGGTCTGGCTTTGGATACATAGTAGAAACTTTATGGATACAATGGAGGGCTGTGTGTGTGTGTGTGTGTGTGTGTGTGTGTGTGTAGGGGAGATAATGATTTATTCACAGGGAAGGATATCAGCAACACTGGGTTCTTGTTCCCCGTTTCTACGTTTCTATCTCTAGGTAAATTTCTTCACCTTATCCCCCCACCTCCAACCCCCCCCAAAAAAAAAAAGTAAAGGTAAAGAAGACTGCCCGATGCCAGCATGACCGCATTAGGATGTGGCTCAGCTTCATTGCCTCCATCCCCAGTGGTGGGCATGCTGGAGATGAGCCACCAGCCAGGACCATTAACATGCTAATGTCAGAGACTGGAAAACAGATCCCATCTGTCTTCTCCTGGCTGGCCTCCCTTGCCTGCCCACTGCTCAGCCAAGAGGCCCAGAACACCAGGGGGCCCCTCAGCTACTACACTGAGGTACTCACCCTGTTTCCACCCTCATTCCCACTCTCAATCTGTGTGAGTGGTAAGGAGAATCATGACTGGGCTCTCTAATCAGGGCAGGAAAGATGCATTTCAGCCCCCAGGCATAGCATTGCTTTGGGGTATATAGATACCACAGTCCCTGCTCTGTCTCCTCAAACATTCTTTCTTGGGGCATCTTAAATGGGACTCAGTCTGAAGGATGTGGGCATTATTGCTAGTTGCTAAAGATAAAGGTGCAACCCAGGAGAACAAGATGCAGGAGTTAAGCCAACAATCTTTACCTTTAGCCTTTAATCCATCCTGGGAGTGGGAAGCTGCATGGCATAATAAAGGGATGGAGGTGGCAGAAAGGACTGGATTTGAATGGGTTTGGAGTCAAATAGACCTGACACTGCTACTCACTACCTGAACCTTCACTTCTCTGAACCTTACTTTAACTATCTGTAAAATGGGCTTAATTGTAATTAGATAATAGAGCTATTGTGAAAATTAAAAGAGATAATGGATATAAAGTTATTGATGTGTGGTAGTGCTCATAAGTAATAGATTCATTCCCTACCTCATCAGAAGTACTTTGTGCAGAGAGATGCTGACATCAATTCTTGACTGCTGCCCAGATGTATTTTCTTGCCATACCCTGGGCACCTTATGTCCTTTAAGGTCAGGGGCCATGTTGGCTTCACTTTTGTGTTTTCTGTGCCTGGCACAGGATAGACATTCAATCAACGATTGTTTTATGTTTTCTCTTCTAGGTGGTGAAAACTATTGGCCTAAGGGAAGTTTGGTTCTTTGGTCTGCAATACCAGGACACTAAGGGTTTCTCCACTTGGCTGAAACTCAATAAGAAGGTAACTGCTTACCCTACTATTGGGTTTGGAATTCATTCATCCACCAGATCTTGCTCAGGAGGGTAACATGTGCTAGCTGACAAATCCAGGGCACCTAGAGCTGTGTTTTCCACTGGGTGGTCTGTTGATCACTGGATCAGAATAAGGGCAGAGGACTCAGCCGAGGTGAAGCTCCAGCTCTGTCTCCACTTTGACTTCTAACAGCAAGAATGGCCAGTGTCCAAAGAAGAAGGGACCCTACTAGGAGCTCTGTCTTGAACTTTGACTTATTTTAGACGACAGCCATTAGTGGTTCTTCAAGAGGGGATTTGTATCTTTTTTTTCTTTCTAAACTCAAGGACTTTAGGAGATTTGTTAAAAAGAGAGCCACAGACTCTTGAGCAGGAAAGAATCTTGAAGGTCTCATGATCTTATCTTGTCCCTTCCCCTACCTGTCAACTGATGCCTGAACCCCATGCAGATGCTTCCTTCTTTCTTGATTTTCTATCTCAATTGAACTCTAAATGGGATAATTTGAGTATAGGTCCATTCAAGCTGTCCACCTCCAAGCAGCATGTCTGCAGAAACATGGTGGCCCTCCATCTCAGTATACTCAAACTGGCTAACTTTGTCCTTGGGGGTCTCCATACTGTCTTATGGCTTGTTTCCCTGATTGTGTGTAGGAGACGGGTGCCTTAACTTCTGCTGGCAGAGTCTTGTTTTCCCAAAGAGTAGAGACTTTTGCTGGACAAATGTGGACTGTTAGGAGCCAATTTCAGGCCTTAAAAAACAATCTAGTTTGTGCTCTTGTCTAGCCAATTCCCAGCCTCAGCCATGTATCCTGGTCTTTACTTTGCTAATTTGTGGTGTTGGGGGAGCCTTAAAGGAAGAGCTTTCTTCAATCAATCAAAAGATACAGAGTGGCAGGATGGATTAAAAAGCAAGACCCAACAATATGCTGCCTCCAGGAAACAC